GAAAAACCATATTTTTACACTAAAAAGTCAATCATGGTACTATTCATTTTACCCTTTATTTTATCTTTATCGTTAAAACTCAAAATTTTCAAACCTTTTTCATTAATTTTCCTTTTATTTATTTGGTCAGATTTTTTTAGTACAACCATAATAAACCATGGCACCGCGCAGTGAGAAAACTTAAAGAATGTGAAATAAGCAGCAACATAATAAAAGAGAGTCCAATCCAGCCTATAATTGTATGGTCGAGCGACCCCATCATACTGTCGGTCGGCCCTCCTAATCCTCATCCTCATCCTCACACTCCGCCCGCTCGTTGTCAGTAATCATGTTATATGCAAAATGATGCGAGTCTTTATGACATGGCGGAGAGATCATTGTCTCGCTGCCCACCGACACCAACCAAGTATATATGCCATCTTCAGCATGCTCTTACTACCCAACCATCCTCCAAAGCGGTCTTCAACTTTCCTATATTTTGGACCCCTTTTTTCCACCAACAGTACAAAATCACAAAGTGAATGACAAAATGTAGCACCATTTGATTAGAATTAGTACTTTCAACTCAACGAAAAATTAATCAAGGTTAAATAAAAGGAAACGTGACAAATTATTAGGTACATGATAAGCATGCATTATAGTTTATAGTGGTGAGCTAAAATACCCCCCATTAAAAATATAATACATAAAGTGGTGGGACCCAACTCAATTATGTTATAGCTATCACTATCATGGTTTAATATATTGGTATCACATTCAAAGTTTTCTGGCCCATTGTAGGGTGATTCCTCCGTGCTCAAATATTGGTATAACACACTTTTTTTCCGGCCTACTGTAGAAGGCCTTAGTGTAATTTAGAATAGTAATATTGCTCCAAAAGAGTGGCAGCATGCATTGTGAGCTATACTGCTAAGAAGCTATTTGGTAATCATTTCGTTTTCAGTTTTTGGTTTTCATTCTCACTTTTTGAAAATTGAAATCTTATCGGTAAGTTGGTAACTACTTTTAATTTTTTTTTTCAAATGAAAACTAAAAACCAAAAAGTGAAAACTCAAGCCAAATTTTGAAAACTCAATAAAGTATTTTTCATTTTCTAAAAACTAAAAATTAGAATTAGTTACCAAACAAGATTTCAGTTTTCCCAAAAGCTCATGTAATTCCTTATCGAGCTGGTCATAAATAGCTACTCCAGATATTACCCACCTGCCAAGAGAATTTATAAATAAATATAATTTTCAAACTGAAAATGAAATTGTTATCAAACAGCTCTAAATCAGCCTTAAACTCAGTTGTATAATTTACCACCAAAACTAGAAGATCCAACCCAAACGAACCCTGACAGTACCCACAAAAGTAAAAGTATTAGGCCCAGTAGGCCCTGTAGTATCTGGTTTAGTTTTTGCTGTTTTGGGCCTTTGGACCCTCAAATGTATCAAAAAGAAAGAAAATTAAGAAACAATATGCCAGCAAAAGAAATGAACGAAAGCAAAATATTTGAGAGAGCTTGTGAAAGAAATAAAACAAGATCACATACATTTAGGAAAAGAAAAAGTTTAGTCACAAAATCAATGTGGATTTTTACATTCGAATTCTACATCTCCTACTAAAGGGCCCAAATTTATAAGAGTCTCGTTCTCCTCGACCTCATTGTCTAAGATAATTGTGGTCACCCAGTATTTGATCTTAGTCCAACGGTTAAGAAAAAAGTACAACAACAAAATTTAAACCACTAATTACTATTGGATTAAACGGTGACCATTTTCTTGGACCATGGGGTCTTAAGAGAATGGAACTGAAGTTTATAAACCACACAAGATGTGAGACATAAGAAAAACATTATAAGCAAAGCAACATTTTCCGAAAACTTGAAACGAAATGATATCCTAAAACATATTGAATGGAGACAGTACATATGGATATGCAATTTTTCTTTAAACAACATAAATTAAATAATCACAAGGAGATCCAAGTTAAGAATTTTAATACTTGGCTTTCAGAATGTAAGATTTCAAATTTTATGATTTTGACAGAGTTCTTGTGACGACCCGTCTCTAATTTTCTATGTAATTTCTCCCCAAATGTGTAAAATGATGTTTATACCCTTGTTGGCAAACTGACGTGGATGTGTTTATTCGCTCTTAATTTATTTACTTGCTATTTAATTAAATAGTACTCATTATTACAAACGCGTGAGGGCGAGTTAGACTCGAATCAGAGTTGTGACAGAAAAGTTACGATACTTTAAAATGAGTTAAAAACGGGTAGTTTTATTCACGGATGCATTAATTATTTAGTGTTGGGAACACTGTTTTGGATAGATTTCGTCTAATTACCTTTGTACATACCCTATCCATTTTCTTATTCAAAAATATGTCTCGTGTGCCCTCAAATCCCTCACATTCACTCATTTTTCCCTAAAACCCTCACTACCAATCAGAACCTCTCCTCACACCTCTCCTCAATCAGAAGTTGTCAGTCTCTCTCTCTTATCTTCCCTCTCTCCTCACCATCAAAATTTATAGATAGAACCTACAAACTACACCATTGTACTCCTCACAACACTACAAACTCAGCCGTACTCTCAGATTACGTTTTGACCGAGTCTTGGATGTCCAACTTGTAAGGTCCGACGAGTTGCAGGCTGAGTCACGGAGTTTTGAAGGTTGTGGAAGCTTCTAAGTGACTCCTCGAGGTCGCTAGACTAAGTTTGGAGTGGAGTTGACGCGAGGATGTATGAGTTCTAGGAGTCAAGTTTTTGGCCGAACCTTTCAAGCCATTTTCAGGCCACTTCTGTCCACTTTTTGGACTTCCAAAAGGTATAGACTTGTTCTACCCCTTAAGTGCTTCATTTCCATATAAATTTCATCGAAAATGGTTGAGAAATGAAGAAGTTATAAAGCTTTGAAATTTTCCCCATAAACTAGCCATTTTTTCCAATTTCCAACGAACCAAACGGCGGCGGCGAACGACGAGGCTCACCGGAGAAGACAAGGAATATTCTGTCAAAGTTCACGGAATATTCTGACGGCGTCAAGTAACACTGTTACTATTTAACAAAATATTCCGTCAGTTCTGACGGAATATTCCTAACGTCCGTTTGAGTTCCATCAGCTTCTACCGTGCACGTGCTTGCTCGTGGCTATGGGTTGGACAGCGTGTGAGGGCCCGTCCGGCCTCATGTCCGTGAGTGGTTGACACGTATGGGTCTGTGACTTCGAGTAGAACATTTTCGCATATTCAAACATTTCGTTTGAGCAAATTATGGGAAGTCTTTCCTAGTTTTTTTTGCATATGTGTTAGTTAAGTAATTATTATTAGTTGTTTCACATATAGGGGAGACTTACCCTAAGGATATACGTGGACAAGCGAGATTAGGGGCTACGATCCTTCGACATACCAATGAGTGGGCATTTTGTTTTCTTATATATATTTATAAACTTTATAATTTCCACAAATGCTTTTAAATTGATTTATGCATTTTATGCCATGATTTACTTAATTTTTAAAATGCTGTTACGCGGTTGAGATTTATATATTGTCATGGCATATTCATATACATTTTACCTGCTCGTAACTATTGCACTGTTATGAGATGCTAAAATAATCGTACGGGATACGTATGTAAGTTATTATATTGTTGCAATCATAGAATCATTATGGCATGCATGTATTCATGTAGTGCTCATCATTGTTGCACCCCGGTGTTTGTGCTCCCACCTCAGGCCAGGGCCAGTCCTTCACATGTATGTTCACCTCTCGCACTGCACGCTCGTCTTTCCAAGTAGGTGCTAGCCTGTCGTACAAGTATAATAGGCGACTCCGACTCGTAGGTGACCGCGCATAGCTCTAGCTTCACGTGATTGTAGCACTAGATCGTATATTATTACACCTAACATGTCGTACAGGTCACATTATGCGACTCCGACTCGTGTGCTAGCATAGATTGATGAACATAGGTGTAGTCGTACAAGTTGCATTAGGTGACTCCTACTTGCGTGCTAGTATAGATTATTGAGCACATGATTATATTCATATTGCCGTTGAGATATTTTGTTGTGGCATATTTCTAGATTTATTGTTGGCATGCATTTGATTTCATATTTATACATAGTATGATTTTTGGGAAACTATACTTGTTTTACAACGAGGGGTTAGTATGTTCAGAAAACAAATGGATTTTATAAACCTTTATTTTTGTGCCCACTCACCCTTCTGTTTTTCGCCCCTCCAGGTCCTAGTTAGCTGATTATCCCTATGGCATACGAGAAATAGTTGGTGATTCTGACATACTCCATTTAAAAGTGCGAACTGATTTCCGATCGTGTACTAAACACTTAATTAGTTTCAATTGCACTACTGTTGATATCTATGCTCTAAATATTTGTATTCTATGAGTTCTACCCACTACTGCGCACTCACTTTATTATTTTAATCAAGTTCTAGTTTTGGTTTTAATTTTTCCACATTTTTCTTACATCACTTGCACTTTTGGTTACGTCACCTTCGGGTGACGGCCAGCACGCCTCGACTCTGGTCAGGGTGTGTCAGTTCTTCCAATCTAATGTACCGGTGGAATTTAAAGTTATGCAAGGATGCTATCAGTTGCAACCACTCTTTCGTTTTGGGTTCGGTATTAGACTAATTGCAATTCTCTCATCTGTCAATTTTTCAGAGTAACAGCACCAAGGATGCAAAGTTGTTCAGCAAATCCAATATCATTAGAAATGAACAAAAAGTTAACTCACTTAGCCCCCCAAGAAAAATAGAAAATTGGTTCAAGAGATGGACTTTAACTAGTAACTGACAAGCGGAGTAAGCCTTGCTATTCAAGCTACGACGTCATCCTAAATAACCTAAACCTCGATACATCCTCACCTGGAGAATGAGCTCCCTTGGAGTTGTTCAGTGCTCTACTCTCAGAGCTCTACAGAAAATAAAAAGACATGAAAGGAGTGATCGGTGACAACCAGAAGAACAGTTGTTCTGATGAGACTGTAGTGTTGGTAGGAACCAAAATGCTGCGTGAGGCACGTTTTAATATGAATGACGGAGGGATCTACACTTATATTAGTTTAGCTACTCAGACCCGCTCAAAACTTAGCTGCTTCAAGACTAATGCATCTGCTAAAATTATATTTTGCAATTCACTAGCTAACTATGTATTCAACTGTACTCATCGGCCAAGAATTTTCAACAAGTCAATTCCATGAGAAACTACCTTTCCCACTGTCTATACTTGGACGGTGTTGTCTACATACAAGTGCTCCTTCAGAATTTCTCGCAGGTACTCGAGCTGCTCAAAACCACCTTGAAGTTCTTCCCACTACAAGAAACAGAAAATAATTACGTTAAAAACATCTGGAAACCACTCATACCCGATAAACATGTAGGTAGTTTTTACTACTGATCAGCCAGATTTTATTTTTTAGGTATTACTCTGTGCGTGTTGTGATAATTCATGGATGTGAGATGTGGGAACTCACCTCTTGATGAGCCACTGACACTACTTTCCAACCAGCAGCAGTTATGTAGCGGCGTTTCAACATAGTATGTCCCAAGGGAATCCCTGCACGAAGCATAATGAGATCAGTTGAATACTAATTAGGACATTAAGAGTAGTCAATGGCTCAAATGAAAACAAGCGCAAAGAAGAAGCTGTAAGATTATGTGAAGGATACTCACAAGTATTTCTTGAGAAATGCGTTGGGCCATCAATCTCCATAGCAACCTTCTTATCAATCACGACGGCATCTAGAGTGTACCCGTCCACCACATATTCTTTGACCCAATCAAGACCAGTGCTGACAAGAAGACGAGCGACCTCCTTTTGAAATGACGATGTCATTTTCTGATTAAATCTCTTAGTTTTACCAGCCCGAGCAATTTTCTCCCCAAGATCTTCCCGTAGAGATAAATGAAGGTGCGGGTACTCAAGCTTCAAGCACTGGTTCACTAGATGAACCTGAGACGCAAACATGATATCTTCCCTATACTGCTCTGAAATCCTTTGCTCTTCAAATTGGCTCAGAGTTCTCCACACATGGGAAAAGAAAGTCCGATCCATTTGTCCAAAAACAGCATAAGACCATGCTATACTCCCAAGCTGATCCCTACGGAAACTGAGCACGGGAGCGCTTACATCGCTGCCATCAAAGTCAAGATCTTCTATGTTGTCCACACTCTTTTCTCTGTAAAATTCTGATTTTTCTTTGCTTGAGAAGCATAAAAATTGGCTGGACTCTTTGAAAACAATATCTAAGGAGTCCAGCAAACGTTCAGCAGACTCTGATAACGAAGCAAAAGCCCACAACACCTGAGCAAGCTCTTGCTCGTGGAAAGTGTGAATTATATCTGATGCCTGTTTTGATAATTCAGAAAAGAGATCAGGAGCGGAGTGCTTCATTGAAGCAAAAGCACCGGCAACATTAGCCACATTCTGTGAATTAAACTCCTCGACCTTGGTTAAGGCCACCTCCGCAACTCTATCCATTTCTGACAAGTAAAGTAGATCACCGCCGATCTTAGACAACGCCCACGAGATATTAGAGATACCTTGAGCTGAGCACTCTGGCAAGGCTGTCATTGCTATTCCCACAAGCATAGACATCTCTCTTTGACGAGCAAAAGCCAACCTACGTGTCTCTGTCATTGCAACTTGCTCCATGTTCTTAGCAATCCGATGAAGAGCAGTGGCAATGTTTAAAGGAGAGAGAGGTGAGGGACTCAAGCCCTTCCCAACAGCCATGATTGTCTCCGCAGTAACTTCCAACACTTCTTCCGCAGTCTGTGCCTCAATAATTGCTCTATTCAAGTTGATTTCTTTCTTGCGATCTGATGGCCCCGAGAATTGGGATAGCCTCTGAACAAACTTTTCCCTAGTTTTCTCCTTCTTCTCTTCAAACATCCCACCCCCCAGCACACTCACAGTTCTTCTTAAATGACTAGCACTGTCCAGACTATTCATGTCCGGCATATCAAAGTCTTCCTCCGAATCTACATCTAAATCTTCTTCAATTTCCTTGATTTTCTTTCCCATTTTCTCTACTTTCCCCACCTTCTTCTTGTTCTTCTTCTTTTTCTTCTTTACAGTAATCATATCCTCCATTGCCTCAGACCATCCCTTCGCCTCGATCACTTTCAGCGCAGTCTTTCTCGCCCTCACACACCAATCCATTCCCTCACTTTCAACCAACTTAGCATTTTGCTCCTTTTTCCTCTTCCTAGGGGCCTGGAAACCCAAAGGGTCAAGCTCCCCAAGAAACTCCAACTCCCAATCCAAATTCCCATCTCCTTTCTCTTCTTGTTCACCGCTATCATCGCCACCATCAACACTCCTAGAACTAACAGCAGTATTATCTCTTCCTACACTTAAACAATATCTTCTCGAAAAACCCACCTCAAGCTTTCGAGCTAAGACCCTAGTTTTCGTTAATGGAAGCTTATGAACAATATCGGGTTTAAAAATGAAGGGTTTGAAGAAAATTTGATTGGGGAAAGTGGTAAGAAATCCTTGCATACTTATCTAACAAACTTGAAAAATGGATTAACAAAATTCTAAGCAACTATATATTTAGGACAGAAATCGCAAACTAACAGGACATACCCAACACACGATATCCACTGATTCTAAAGGGAATGCTGCTGTGGTGGCGCCTCTGGAATTTCTGGTTTATTTGGCTAAGGAACTGGCTTGGGTTTTAGGAGGGTTGGGAATTCAAGAAGATTGGAAGAAAAATGGAAGATGGGGAATCGAAGGGTTGGAGTTTGACTGAAGATTAGAGTATAAAAGAAGAAATTTCGAAGAACTGAGAGAGAAAGATTGAGTTCGGCAGTTGAATTTCAGGGAAGGAAGGAAAGGATAACGTCGAGAGTGAAAAAGATGATGCATTGGGGAGAGTGGAGACCACACCCTCAAAACGAGAGCAACTTACATAGATCCTAAAACACGTCATCAAGATGCCCATACCAGAAGTTGAAGAATTGACGCATCGTAGGTGGAGGTTATCATTCACCAAAATCAAAGGCTTATTCATTTTCTGCTAATTAGGTACGCTTAAAATAAAAGAAGATATTTGAAACGTCCATGATGCATGGAAACATTTCCCATGATGCATGAACCCTCTATGTTTATATTTTCTTTTCGATATACATATTGTCTATGTTCATATATTTGTCAATATATATAATTGTTTCATGCATCGCACAATTAAATTGTTATGTAGAATTTATGAGTCAAATTATCTAGAATAAATTCGAAGCAAATATGGTTTCCTAAACCCTAGAGGATTTTGAAAGAAAAAACAAAGGATTGGATATGGTGCGGCACACCACCGCACCATCACTGTGGAAGTAGCTACCAGGCCTCAGCCTAGCACTCACCTCGGCAGGGCCTGAAGCCTCATGCCCATCCTGCTACATTGGCTCGGAGCCATGACACCAGCCTTTTTTTAGGCTGGGCTCCTATACGATCCCACATGCCAGCCCACGGGCTGGGTTTTGTTGTCCCGTGCACCCCCTCCCTTCAGCCCACACTGAAACCTAGCTACAGCTGGGGTTTCTCCTCACCTCCTGTGGCCTATAGCCCACACCCGAGACCCTTTTTGGGCTATGTCTTTTTACTCAAGGCACCTAACCCGAGCCCAAATTTTTTTTTGGGCTATATTTTCGATCCAATAATATTATTTTGCTTCTACAATCGACCCCGTCTTGCCCGATTTATTGAATTAATTAAAAGTGACCTACAGTCCATTAATCTAATAATGAATCCAAAATTATTGACATGAATATCACTTTTGGACATTAACGATTCAATAATTTATTTTTATACTTTGAACCGTCACATACTTTCATAGTAACGAAGCTCTCACACTTGAGTTCTCGAAGAACCTTTAATCCACTATATTCAAATTAGTATATTGCATCATGTGTTTCTTGAAAGAACCTCTCATTATGAACTAATTGTTCATAAAACTAAATTGAACATGTAGTTTCAAATTTAGTGTCTTTGAAATCCGAAGTTTTCATTCAAAACATACCACATGAAACCTATAGTTTTCATGCATAAATTAAACCAATACATGTCTATAGAACCTGTATGTTCTACGATATATGTCTATGGCTTACCATATGACTACTCACGTTTTTTCCCTCTGTTTTAGGGACATGTCGAACTTAAACAAGCTCGATTTCTCCGCTCTAGAAGTCTTTGGAAGAAACTATCTGAAGTGGGTTCAAGACGTGAAGCTTCATCTAACTGCAAAGGGCATTAGAGCCACTATCGAGGCACCTATCGCCGATAAACCTATTGACGAAGCTCAGAAGGCTACTGCAATGATCTTTATTCGAAGACACATCTATGATGCACAGCAGACTGAGTATCTCACTGAAGATGACCCACGCACCCTCTGGCTTGCTCTGGTTGACCGTTTCGATCACCAGAAAGACATATACTTGCCTGAAGCAAGACACGACTGACAGCATCTTCCCTTCCAGGATTTTAAGACTGTGAATGAATACAACTTTGAAGTTTGTAGAATCCGTTCATTGTTGAAATTCTGCAAAGTGGAACTCACCGAATCAAATGTCCTGGAGAAGACCTATTCGACATTCTATGCCGCCAATATTGTCATGCAGCAATATTGTCATGCAGCAACAATATAGGGCACATGAATTCACCATGTTTTCAGATTTGATCTCTATTTTACTTCTTGCTGAAAAGCAGAACCAGCTTTTGATGAAGAATCATCAAGCTCGACCTACTGGCTCGAACGCCGCGCCTGAAGCGTATGCGATCTATTCTAGCAGCCATAAATGACAAAAGAATCGTTGTGGCTGTGGAAATGGGTGGCAAGCCCAACCACATGCCCAAGGTCAACAGAGTGCCGCACCTAAAGGAAGAAATGTGACCCAGCTGCATCCACCACTCACCCCTAAGGCCCCAAAGTTCAAGAACAAAGGCTAAGCTCTCGTTCAGCCCGCTTCTACTGAACTGGACATGTGTTATCGTTGTGGATCAAGGGATCATTGGTCACGCGTATGCCGAGCTTCCCCTGAGGCTATTGCCCAATATCATTCCCGTCGTGAGTCTAACTTTGCACATGTGGATCATCCGGAAGATGCAACTACATCAATTGAGATATCAGATTTTCAGGAGGTGTCAGCGCCTATGGATCATTAAATTAGACATGTTTTTAGGGTGTTTACCCCTAGTGGCCGGCCCTACCCCCTATTTTCTAGGTTTATGGTTTAATTTTGAACAATTTTTATAAGTATTTGGAATAATTTGTTTGGTTTTGGTTTGTTTTGAATTATGGATTGTTATTTGAATGGATATTATTCTCTCGAATTGCTTAATTGAATGAATTGACTTATATTTATGCATGTGACCAATTCAATCAATTTATTTCTAGGTATGTCCAGTGGGGAAGTTAGTTGTCTGGCAGATAGTGCAACCACACACACCATCTTGCGTGAACGACACTATTTTACTAACTTAATACCCAAGAAAGCTCATTTGACAACTTTCTCAGGCTCATCCAACCTGATTGAAGGATACAGAAAGACATGTATCATGTTGTCTAATTGTACAATTTTGACAATTAAGGAGGCACTCTATTCTCCACGTTCCGGAAGAACGTTGTTGAGTTTTAGAGATATTTGAGATAATCAATATCATATTGAAACCAATGAAGATAATGGTTCTGAATTTCTTTGTATCACTTCATACGAATATGGCCAGAAGCATATTCACGAGAAGTTGGAACGTCTGCCGAGTGGGTTGCACATCATAACCATTTGCGGCATAGAAGCCCACAGTGTGGCCGACCCTATGCCCGAGTTCCAGGACACTTTGTTGCTTTGGCATGACCGTTTGGGACATCATGGACGTGACATGATGCGCCGTATCCTCAAATCTTCACACAGGCATAAGTTACATCCTTATGTTGGACTTCAGCCATGCAAAGCGTATTCTTTAGGGAAGTTGAGTACTCAACCCTTATATACAAAGATTATTCACGACCCCCCTAAGTTTCTTCAGAGGATTCAAAGGGACATTTGTGGACCTATTCAACCAACCTGCGGACCATTTAGATACTTTTTGGTGTTGATTGATGCATCAACAAGATGGTCACATGTTTGCTTATTGTCCACACGCAGCGCCGCATTTGCTAAACTCCTAGCTCAAATCATGAAGCTAAGGGTTCACCACCCTGATTATTCGATTAACTCGATTCTACTGGATAACGCTGGAAAGTTTACGTCACGGACTTTTGACAATTATTGCATGTCAGTAGGGATTGATGTGGATCATCTTATACCCCATGCTCACACCTAAAACGGCTTGGCAGAAGCTTTCATAAAACGTCTTCAATTGATAGCTCAGACTTTGGTTATGAGAACCAAACTACCAATATTGCCTAGGGCTATGCAATATTGCATGCAGCTATGTTGGTCTACCTGAGGCCCACCACTACTCAACCACATTTACCATTATAGTTGGTCACTAGATACGAGCCTGACGTCTCGCATTTACAGGTGTTTTGGTGCACCATTTATGTGCCAATAGCGCTGCCACTACGTACCAAAATGGGTCCTCAAAGAAAAATGGGAATTTATGTTGGTTATGATTCGCCATCAATTGTTCGCTATTTAGAACCCTTGACAAGAGATATTTTTACCGCACGTTTTGTAGAATGTCACTTTGATAAGACAGTCTTCCCGTCATTAAGAGGAGATAAGCATGTTAACATTCCCGTAGAACACCGCGATTGTCGTGGTATGCTCCCACTATTTCTCATTGCTCAAAGCATTGCTCAAAGCATGCCGGATGCTTTTAATGATCTAACAAAGGTGACAAGATCACATATACCCACTGTAAACACACCTGCAAGGATACAGGTACCCTGTGTACGTCAACAACCCGCTTGGGAAAGCCAGACCATCCCCGAAGGTGGGGAGGCCGCACCCTCCACACGGTAAGGTATATTGGCGACTAGCCAATCATCTGCTCCGACCCTGAAGCGTGGCAGACCCCTTGGTTCAAAGGATTCACAACCCCGGAATAGGAAAATGGCATAAACTAGTGACCCTGGTTTGAATCCGACCATCGCTCACTCATCCGTTCCAATGCATGAGGTTATTTTAGATTATGGTGATGTTTCAGATGAAACATGTCAGCCTTTCGAGAATCGTGAGATTTCAGTCCATTACGTAGTATTAGATGAGGTTTGGAATAGGAATGAGATGATGGTCGATGATATATTCGCATACTCAGTAGCTACTGACATCATACTTAGCGATGATATTGAATCACGTTCTGTCGATGAATGCCGATGTAGAACCAATTGGTCAAACTAGGAATAAGCAATCCAGGTCGAACTCGATTCGCTTACGAAACGTAAGGTGTTTGGAACTATCATTCTTACACCACCACGCGTGAAGCATGTTGGCTACAAGTGGGTTTTCATAAGGAAGCATAATGAGAAGAATGAAATAGTGCGATACAAAGCACGCCTCGTAGCGCAAAGATTCTCTCAGTGCCCTGGGATTGATTATGAGGTGACGTATTCTCCATAATGGATGTTATAACGTTATGCTACCTAATCAGTTTGGTAGTTTCTGAAAAACTGAATATGTAGCTTATGGACATGGTAACCACGTATCTCTATGAGGATCTAGATACGGAAATTTACATGAAAGTTCCATAATGACTTCCATTGACCGGTTCAAATAGTTCTAGACCACGAAACACTATCTCAATAGGTTAAGGAGGTCACTCTACGGATTGAAACAATCCGGGCATATGTGGTATAAACGTCTGAGTGAATATTTGACAAGTCAAGGTTATGTGAAAAATGAATTATGCCCATGCGTGTTCATAAAGAAGTCACATTCCGGATTTGCAATTGTTGCAGTT